GTCCCATAGTTGTTTGGCCATGAACGTGTGAATGATACCAGAAAGTACCCGTATCGAATGTAATAAACTCGTGCTGAAAACTGGAGCCCGGCACAATGGACAGTTGGGTGACTTGTCCAACTCCATCACTCTCAGGTGTATTCACTTGCCGAATGCCGTGAAAATGGACGCTGAGTGATTCCGTTGAAAAATCATTGTAGATACGTATGCGCACTTTTTGATTCTGATAAACATGCAGAACGGGGCCCGGTAAAGAATTATTAAAAACATACACCTAAGTGAAAGAATGACCATAATATCGGAATATGATAAGGGAAAGAAAATCAAATGAATTATACGTACCAATTTCGGGTAGCCATCAGCTGTTAGAATATCAGTCATAGAAAATATTCGACTAGAATCAGCATAGTGATGCAGTGTTCCATTAGCGGTGGCCACGACTCGAAAGAGATTTTTATAGAACATGGTCATAGCTGCAGTTGCATGTATTTGGAAGGAACATGTCGACATCGATGCTGTACAAGAGGCATCGTGATTGTACGGATCGAAGGGTTCCAATGCATGGCTTCTCTGGCTGATTAGTAATAAAATTATTGTGATGCACTGATGCAAGTCCATAGCGATTTTGAGAAGAAGTTAAGCAACTCTGATCTCAAAACAATATCACTACAAAGAAAATTATCATAGTTTTTATATGTCATAGTGTATATATCACACACATTGTATGGCTATCTAAAGTCTAACATAGTCTATTCTCGAGATTAGCTTCTTTGAAGTTATTTCTTATATGAACTAAAAAAGTCAATCTGACATGTGCATGGAAAAAATACAGACTAAGCAGGTCAAGCAAGCAGGCTTGTAAACGACTGTAAATTGTGATATTTTGGTGCATAAATTGGGTTTGTATTACGTTTCATATTTCCTCGTGTTGTATACGAAGAAATACGATAGTTTATGAATAAAAATGAGATCATTTACTGATTCTTATACGAGCTCCATTTTAATCTGTATTTTGCTGTAAGAGGTCCTATTTCTTTGTAGACGATACGGAGAAATATGATCATATACAGTGAAATGTGAAGTGTATACCGTCGTTTTCGAGTCTATGTGAATTTTGTATACTTCATTCTGGGCTTGTCTTTGTCTCGTTCTTTTTATGATATACTCTTACCTTTCATCGATAATAAAAGTGCGATGATTATATAAATGACAGTGAAGTGCACAAAAAGTCAACAGCAGATAATAACAAAATAAATTTATCTTTACACAAGCTATTTTAAGAAACTACAATAACCTCCACAATTTGCTTTCAAAAATATGCAATCGTACAAATAGTGCATTCTTCTCGTCAGAAACCACTGTGATAGGTTTAGATCAGTTTCATCGAGCAAAATATTTGCAATTTACGCGTTCGTATGGGTTTGGATATCAATGTACGTGAGGATGTGGATGTGTCGGTGTTGATGTGACCGTAGGTCTCCTCTTCAAATACACTCATACACACACACGCCAATATATTTCTCTGTTTATTATAATTAGACACATGTCTCTTTGTTTTTGGTCTCTTCTCTAATAGTTTTATTAGTAGATATTTCTTGGAGATAAAGAAAAGACACAAAAAACTTCACCAATCCTTTACAGATAACATATTGTTATACATATTTATGTTTAATTTAACGCAATAAGTCTATATACGCAGAAATTTCATCAATCAAATTTGAGCGTGAGTATAGCTCTTCTCTTCATCCGCACCCATGCCCTTCGATCAAATAGATGCACCATAAATGATGGTACTATTTTCATTTCATGTTTTTCTCGGTCAGCTTTCACTGTAGAAATTCGCACTTAATCTCAAAAGGTTTCCTTTACAACTATTAAAACGTCTAAAGCTTGTCTTTATCATCGTTCAAGACACTTAATAAAAGTTACAGAATACCCTTTTCGATCGTTCTAGTCGTGCTCAACTTTTTCTATATTTGTTGTTGATAGTAATGTAGTTCACTATTATTGGTGGAAAAAAGAGGTATACTCTTCTTGTTGTTTGTTATCGTCCATCTCAACGCTTTACTGTAATGTAACACAAAGTGATAAGAAAAAAAAAACATTACAATCCGTTTCATTGAAGGCATTATCAGAAGACATGTTTGTTTTCTTTTCACTCGTATCTTTGAGAATTGTTTCACTTTGGCCTTGCATTTGTTGCTCGAAATTGATATAGTATGTAGATGATGGTATTGTGTTGCAAATTCGTCTAGTTTTATTGTTAGAATTAAATATATCATCGGATTTGATAAAGAAGTCATGTAACAAATGTACTATAGATACAGGAATTACCTGCTATGATGAATGTCAACAATCATTTTGCCCTTAACACATTAACGATTATTGTCAAAACGTTGGTGAACAGATAGATAAAATAGAAGAAAAAGATGAAGGTCATCTACAAAACTTCAATAAAGAAACTGGTTTACATCCTATTTTTTGTTGCATAGATAATTTCCCTTCAGGATATATATATATATATAGACTATAACAAGTATTCTCACTGACGTTAATTTAAAACAAGGCTGAGTAAATCACAGGTTCTGATAATATTAATCAATATTTCCAAATGTAGATACAAACGAATATATGACAGAACTACATTTTAAAGCACGAAACAACCGTTCAAATAATTTTCATATGATCCAAGTTGTGCAGATCTCATACTTTACTTGAAAGCTTAATTAAACAACAATGTTCTCCTAGCTATCGTCTACAAATTGTATAACAACAAGATCAGATTGAGTACTAACTATTTACGTTTCCAAACAATTGCAGCGTGGTGAATTGCTGTTTCTTTGTCCTTACCAACTAAACATGGCTTATATTCTAAAAACAAGTATTAAATAAGACTAGCACTAAGCATCTTCTCCTGTTGCTGTAAGTGTGATTTTCAAAAACTAGAAATCAGCTGTCGAACAGATTTTTTTTTCGCCTAAATACTCTTATTCAGACAGCTTTAGTTATGTTGACTGGCACATCGTTCAGAATGATTCAGTAAGGTTGATTACGTCAGTATAATGATAGTTTTTATCTTGATCTTATAGAAATGAGTCTAGTGAGAAAATTCTATTCCAAAACAATA